AGCGAGGTCTCCCACACCATCACGGTCACAACCTCCTATCAGACTCTTTCCGAGTCATCGGTGTTCGGACTTCTCCCTGCTAAAGGAGTCCTCCAGCTCACATCCGGGGATGGCAACGTGACTCAGTACGCGGTACCTACTTCCGCATCCGCATACTTCGAGAAATATTCCACCGGCTCTGCGAGGATCCGCGTGACGGATTCCTCGAACAATATCACATTCCTCGACTATACTAACATCGTCAAGGTCGAGGTAAAGGTCACATCCGGCTCTGCCTCGATGCTTTATAGAAGCCTCTCCCCCACCGGACAGTACGCAGATCCTGCCGCAGGTTGGCAGGTTCTCCAGGGCGCACCCGTCGACTGGTCCAACGGATTCTACAACGACCGCATCACATTCATGGTTGACTTCAAGGACTGGGGCCAGCCCTCCGCAGATGTCCTTTTCGGACTCGGAGGAGAGTCCTATCTCTATCTGAAGATGACTGCCGGCAAAGTCTCCTATGGCTTCGCATCCTTCGACGGAGACAATGAGCTCGTACTCCCCACCGGCTCCGCCCTGACTGCTCTCGGAAAATATTCGACCATCAGGGTGGTCATCACCGAGGACTCGTACATTATCAGCGGACTCGCAGCATGGCCCTCGATGGGAGTTGCTGCCAACGTTCTCAACACCGTCACCGTCGCCCACGACGTCAACGAGGATCTTCTTCATGTGGAGATCTTCAACACCGACGGACTGACTACTCTGCGCTGCGACTCCGCAGATATTCTCGCAGGATCCTTCCCGTCGACCAAGGATTATACTCTCGACCTAGTGAGCCTATACCCTGACTCTCTGATGAGCCTCAAACTCAACTCTATCGGCGTCTATGGGGACTCTCTCACCGTCGGAGGTGTCGAGCTACCCGTCACTGATGGAAAGGTCCACGTCGATGGAAAGAACGTGAGCCTGAAGGGTGCAGTGATCTCCTTCCTCCCCGATGAGGAGGGATGGCTGAGCTGCTACATCAACGGGCGCGACCTCGGCATGCATTTCGCAGCTCTTCCCTCCGTCACCTTCGGAGGAGAATGGAGCCTCACTGCAATCGCCTTCAAGGTCGAGCAGGTAGCCGGCACCAGTGTCGAATGGCATGCCGGGGACTTCGGTCTCGACCAGGGCGGAATAATCGCCGCCGGACTGTTGACCTGCATCGGAGCATTCGTGTTCCTTGGAATGTATGGGAAGGCATCCGGCACCAAGATCGGACTCCTCGCATTAGTATGCGGAGGAGCTGCGATAATACTCTTTATGATGATTTGAGGCGTAGCTATGGATTCGACGTTATTGATGATTATTCCTGTTCTCGTCATTGCAGCGATTCTTATCATCTCTGCAAAAACTGAGACCTCCGGAACTATTTTCGGAAAAATCCTGGCAGTAGGGATCTCCCTGATCCTCGTCGTAGGGATCCTTATCCCGGCGGTCCAGAACTCCGATGTAGATTATTCCCCCCTTTCCCCTGCCCCTAAGGAGAATGTCTTGGATGTGTTCTTGCTCGCAGGCCAGTCTAACGCCGCCTACGGAGTCTATGAGGTCTCTGAAGCCGCGCCAGCCCCTGAGTATGGCACTTCATACTATTTCGGCACCTCCACCAATCCAGTCTACTTCTTAGGATCTACAATTATGTCAGGTACCTATTCCTTAGCTGGCATGGGGGCGTATGACATGTGCAACACGTCCGGCACTCCTAAAATCGGTAATGTTGAGTTGCCTTTCGCAGGAGAGTATACTCAGTATAGTGGTCATGATATGTATATGATCAATTGCGGAGTATCAGGCACCAGCATATCCGATTGGCAACCGGGAGAGTACTGCTACACCTATGCCCTCGACGTATTCACTACTGCTATGGAGCAGATTGATGTTTCTCAGTATTCGGCAGTCAATCTCTGCTCAATCCTATGGATCCAGGGTGAAAATGATGCTTACATGATCGCCACCGAATACGTCGACCTCTTCCTTACTATGTGGGCATCTATGCAGACATGGGAGTATTCTTCTCAACATTTCGAGCAGATTATAATCTCTCAGACTCGCTATGCTTCCGCACCTAATTCCTCTATCGCCCAAAAGATGCTAGGAGACGGAGACTACTCCGGAGTTTACCTCGGGTGTACTCTTGCAAACTCCTTCTCTACATCTTCCGGGTCCTTGGTAGCCGATGGTCTTCACTACTCCCAGAGGGGAGATAATGCCATCGGAGTACAGCTTGCAAAATTTTGTTTAAATTTGAGGCATTGATATGAAATTAATTAATGGCGTCTTGACAATTGTGGTGGCCATCATCTTGGTCGCCGTTTTAGTCGTGCCGGTAATTGACTCCGAGGCCGATTCCGTAACCACTACCTACGCTAATGGTTCGGGCACTCTTGCGCAGGCCTTGGAGACCACCCCTGCCGCACACACTATCGAGTACACTTCTGGAACCACCTTCACCGTCGACGGTGAGACCTATCAGCTCGGCACTTATGGCCGCCTGGGCATATTTGCGAGTGATGAGTGCAGCCTCCAACTGAATAGCTCAGGAGGACAGATCTACATTATGCAGAAGGGAATCAATCAGATCACTGCAACCCTTTCCGATGGGTTCAAGGTTGAGACTACTGCCTCAGGATCTGTCACCATCACCTACGGCTCCTCTACAATTACACACCCCTACTCGTGGACAGTTATGCTGAATCCTCAGGGAACATATGTGTGGAACTCTATCTCCTCCGGTAATGCGCGTTACATCTACGACGTCGAGGATATTATCGTCGCATATTCCTTCGTATCTGGAAACAACTATTGCACTTATGTCGACGGAGTGGCAAAAGTCAACGGCAACTCCTCCGCATTTACTGCGACGACCGCAGAGGTAGAGGGAACTGATGGAAAACTCCAGACAGTGAATAAATTAATGTTTGGAGAGTTTGAGATTCAATTCGGATATGTGCCTGTCACCGTATCCTATATTGATGCTGAATCTTCTCAGATCATATCTCTCCTGTACATTATCCCCCTGCTTCTGCTCGTGTCCGTTGTGGTTATCGCAACGGGATTCATGAGAAGCAGAAACTAAAAACGGCCGTTTTAAACGGCCTTCAAAACTATTTAAGGAAGGGGTCGACTCTGACCCCCTCCCTTTTTAGCGTTTTTTCTTGATCATAAACTCGCCCTGATTATCTCCATCTCTCTCTCGATCTCTGCCTTATGATTGCGCAGCGTCGACACATTGATGCCGAACTCGATGCTGCAATCCTTCCAATTCTTTCCTGCAAGGCGACTGAGTGCGACCATGTGCAGGGGAATGTCGGCAGACGGACGTCCGAGGACTTCTCCGCGTGCCCTGCGAGCCTCTAGGCCCTCTTTTGTGCGCGTGCTAATCATGGCGCCCTCCCACTCGGCGATAGTCCCTAGAATGTGCACGAGGAAGGCACCATTGGGAGTTTTGGCATCGAGCAGGCCTGCGTCCAAGGCGAAGATATCAACGTCGTAGACCTTCAGGGTGTCGAGCTCTTCTCCGAGGATCCTCAGGCTGCGCATGATCCTGTCGAGCTTCGTCACGACGATCCTGTCGAACTTCCTCGCACGAGCATCCGACATCAGTGCCTGCCATCCAGGCCTGTTGCAGTTTTTGCCGGTTGCGACGTCGGAGTATTCCTGGATGATGTCCCACCCGGCACGACCGCAATAGTCGCGGATGCGAGGGAGCTGAAGCTCTTCGTCCTGAGTGCCGGTGCTGACACGTGCATAAACGGCTACTCTCACGAATATTCCTCCATGAAGCGACGGAGCTCGCACATGCATGAGTCGCAGATCTCTCCGGAAATCTCTCCGATCTTGAGAGGCCACCAGAATAAAGTCATCGTGCGCTTGCACCTGGTGCAGGGTACATGGCTCATACTTTCACCCATACTCCCTGTCCGGTGACATCCTTGCCGATGAGCTTCGCCCTTTTGTTGATGGCTGCGCGGATTGTTCCCCCCTTGTAGTCGTCGAGGTTGAATCCGTCAATCCTGGCGAAGACACGGATGTCGAAGATTGAGAACTCTGCCTTATCTCTGATTGTCGAGAGCTCATAATCTACGATCTCCTGAAGCTCCTTGGTGCACTTGGACATCAGACGCGCCTCCAGAGAATGCCCTGAATCATCAGCTTGGCCTCTTCGGCCATTCCGGTGTGGCGGAGGAAGTGGCCGACCTGGGAGGGAGTCGGTCCGCGTCTGTTGAAGCGCACTGCGAGATCCGAGGCGAAGAATGTCCTGCCGACGGGCATCTCCTCCAGCATCTCGCGCACTTTCTCCTTCTGCATATCATTCATCGAGGTCCACCTCGTAATCTCCGCGCTTGATCATCTCCCTAAGGATATAGGCCTCCATCAATGCGTCATCGAGTGCGCGATGCTGCTCGATTCCGTTGGGAAGGTTTGCAGGATTGTCGGGACATAGGAAGGAGTATGTCGTCTGAGCCGAAGGACATCCGGAGTACTGCGAGCAGGGGAGCTCATCACCGTATTCGCGTCCAGCGACCTTCATGATGCAGGGCATGAGTCTCGGGGAACACTCCCAAGGGTAGCGGATAAGGAAACGGTCAAAATCGAACTCTCTGTTGAAGGAGGTTGCTGCATGATTCTTCAGGATCCTCTGAATCTCATTGCGGACTTCGGTGACTTCTCTGCCGCATAATACATCAGTAGGCCTCAGGGAAGTGTTCTGGAAAACCCAGGCCTGTTCAAAAGTATCGGCGAGATGATAGTATGGGCGAACGATTGCATGATAGAGCGGACGGGGAGTAAGGTCGCAGGTTGCGAGCTCGACGATTCCGATCTCTACGACGTGATCCTTCGGCTCTCCGAGGAGTCCGGTCGTTTCCAGATCGACGACTAAGATGGAGTCGACCATTCAGCTCACCTCGAGGATAAGGGGAGCTCTTACCATCTCCGGAGGGAGACCGGGAATATGATTCCAGTAGATGACCATCTCACTGGTGTACGGAGGGAAGTCGATGCCGGTCTCGCAGGTGTTGCCCTTGAAGACGACATAGGCCTTCTTGGAGGAGGCCTTGACCTTCTCCCTGACATAGATGGCGGTGTTGCCCTGAGGTCCGGGCTTGGCCTTGAGCTCGATGATGAGCTCCTGAGTGTCGGTGATCTTGAAGAACATCGCCGGACTGTTGCCGTTGACTTCCTCGAATCCGTTGGTGTGCTTGATGAGAGATGCGAGAGTGCAGGCATCATCCTGGGAAATAATGAGAGTCATAGCTCTTTCTCCTTGATGTATCTGCGAGATTTTACGAGATCAATGCGAGAGTATTCTTCTCCGGAAATAAAATCGAACATCATCAGATCCTTGTAGAGCTGCTTGATGGTGCGCTCGCATGTCACGACCGGTTTAACGTTGACGTTAAACTGGACTATTTTCTTGAAATTACGATAAGAAAACGGAGCGCTTTCGAGAGCTTCGTATTCTTTCGGCAGACACTTGAGAATTTTCTCAAGGATGTCTGGCATCTCATACTTTGATTCGTATGCCATTTTAATCACTTCGATTCATTTTCACATTCACATTCACACATTGATTTTAGGAGCGTATCGGCTTGATTTAGACCAAACTACGATATCAAGCCGATAGAGCGTCCGCTAATCATCTGCTCCTTTGGACGGATCGTATCGGAGTTTGGTCTGGCGAACCGTCGAAATTTTGACGATTTTAGACCAAATCAATACAATCTTACCAATTTCATTGCAGAATGTGTGAATGTGAATGTGAATGTACGAGTACCTGAGTACACGCGTCAGGGCAGGAGTTGAACCCGCAAATCTCATCAGATCCTGACGATTCTTTATTTAGGCGCTCGTAGTTTGAGCTCCAGAGAAGCAGGGAAGAATTAGACCCAAAAACGGCATCAGCCAGGGCAGAGTAGTCCCCCACAAATCTGGGCGGGGCTACCATTTCTATCTGGCTTGTCTGATTTTCGGAATAACTCTCCATTTTAGCACTCTCCGAAGATATTCAACTGCATTGCTTTCTTCATGTCATCGAGATCAACTCCGATGTAGCGGAGAGTGACCTCAGTGGAGTCGTGGCCGAGGATCTTCGCGATCGTCGCCACTTCCACTCCGGCACGATACATCATCCTGCCGAATGTCCTGCGCAGAGTATGGTTCGAGAAGTGAAATCCCAATTGTACCGAAAGGGGATCCGATACAACCTTGTCGATTCCATACCCTTCTTCGGAGTAGGCATGTAATACTCCGCCTTTCTGCCAAATGATAAGATTGTCCGGAATGGCTGCGGTCGGACGTTTCTTTTTGGCTGCGCAGATAAGTTCCGTACGTCTGGCGCGTGCTATTTGCATAACGTGCGCGGTGTCCTTTGCGAATGGGATGCAACGGGGCTTTCCCCCTTGGGACCCTTTACCTAATACGGTAATGTATCCTTCGTCGTCGTGGATGTCAGTGACCTTCAGGCGCACCACTTCGACGCGCCTGAGGCCTAGACACAACTCCAAATGGATAACAACAGTTTGGATAGGGGTCTTTTCGCATTTCAGAAGGATCATGGCTTGATCTGATGATAACCAGTCAACCTTGGGGCGCATATCCCTCGGTAGCTTATAGGTGAGGTCACTCATCGCAGTGTTACCGAAATGAGTGAGGTACTTCTTCAATGCGGAAAGATAACCCTTTCTTGTCGCGATGGCGAGCTGATCTCTCGCCATGCAATCAAGGAGCTTCTTAACGTCGTGCACATCAATTTGGTTGGGGAGTGTGTGCATGTGCTGAGCTTCCATGTATTTCAGGACCGCATGGATGGTTTCGTGGTAAAACGTGACGGTCCTCGGTGCTAATGTGGTGTTGTCGGCGAGATCCTTCGCAAACTTCTCGATTGCGTTCTCCCAGGATGCGAAGGGTCTGGCCATCAGGCGCACCTCACGAATGTGGAGCATGTGCCGGTCGCTGATGTCTGTTCGTTGTGTGCGGTGCAGATTCCGATTCCGGATCTGTAATTGACGCACATCCAAAATTTACAATCCTCGCAGTCTCCGGACATCATCAGGCAGCCTCCTTGATCTCGGTGTAGTCCATTGAGAGAACATTGACCCATTTGTAGCCGGCTGCCTTCATGCACTTGGGGCACGACCTATTAGGGGTAGCCTCTGGAGGATTGGGCTCCTCGTCTAGGGTGAACCAAGGCTTACAACATGCTGGACAATTGAATTTCATCAGTATCTCCTCGGTTCAGAAATCCAGGCGGTCGCACACTCGCATTTATCGCACCATCCGCAGTATGCGGTTTTACGGCGGTCCATCTCGTAAGCATCTGCCTCGACATCCTTGAGGGGGCCACCGCACTTCCTACAATGCATCAATAGTCCTCCTCATCATCGCATTCGGCATCGGTGTCGAATCCTTCCTCACCGTTGTCGTTGTCAAAATAAGACCACCATTTTTCACCGCACTTATCGCAGGTCCAACTTGGCAGCTTCCAAGTGTGGAGATCGATGCTCTGATAGGTCCATCCGGTGCGTCTGATGGTTCCGGTGCATCCAGTCACTGGAGATCCACGAAGCTGAGGGAGATTCTGAGCTTCGAGATCTGCGTGGATCTGAGACTTCATGCCATCACTCCGACGACTGCGTTGCGTCTGCTACTGATGTGTATATCGGAGTAGCGTCCGGTTGCGCGGATTTGGGTGATTCTGTCAAGCATCTCGAAGAGACTCCTGCATTTGGAGAGGTCGATAAGGACCTCTACCGAAGTATTGATATTATCCTCTGTATATGTCATACTAATCACTTAGATTCGCCAAGGTTTTCTGATTGGTAGTCGGACCTTGGCGTTATTCTTCTTCAGTTTGTTGCCATCCCTTTTCTAAGGATCACTCTTGCGACATCGGCGATTTTTCTCCCTTCGTCGAGTGACCGCTTTTCCAGGAGAGCATATTCGGATTCAGTCAGTCTTATGCCGACGGTCTTCGTCAGTTTCTCCATGTTAGCAATATTAACAATTTTGTATTTAAAGATAAGTGCTAACATTGTTAGCGACAAAATTAAAAATTGTCAAAAAATGGGATTTTTCGATGGGTTCAACAATCGGAGCACGGTTTCCGGACGACATTCTGAAAGAAATCGACAAACTAGTAGAGTCGGGAGATTTCGGATCTCGCGGAGAATTTGTGCAGTATGCAGTCAGGAAGATCCTGAAGAATTATAGTGGAAGAATGTAACAAAAAATGGGATTTCTCCCAAATTTGTTACATATTCTAATTTTTCTGTTTTTTCTTCTCCTTCTTGAGTGCTGCCTTGAACATCGCCTTGGTGTCCATCGGTGCGACTTCCTCCAGGAATAGTTTTGTCTCGGCTTCGTTGAGCTCCTTCATGAAGTTCTCCGTCGCCTCCTTCCTCTTCTTCTTGGAGAGCTGCATATTCATCGCCATCATTCCAAGAGGATCCGCGAGCTTGTAGCCGAGAGTATACTCAGGTTCCGGAGGATCCGTACGACCCTGACAAATGGCCTGAGCCATCTCCCATTCCACTTCCTCCTCCTTCATAACATATTTGATAAACTTGACCTGGGCCTCGGCCTGGAGACGGTCGTGGAGGTCCCATGCAACTTCCTTACTGATTGTCCTTATTTTTCCCATTAAATCACTCCAGTGCTTTCCTCGCCTTCGATAATCTGTTGTAAAAAGTCTGCGGACTGTTGATGCCGAAGGTCGCCATGAGCTCGTCACGGTCGACTCCGGCATTGTACATCTTCAGGAGGATGTAGTCCTCCCTCTTGCACTGCTCCTCATATTTTGATTTGTATTTCGCACCGGCAGACTCGCCTCCGTCGGTGATCTGTTTAATCTTGCGCTCCTGACTCCTGAGCTTGATTGCCTCGTATGTCTTCTTCGCCTCTTCCGGCATCTGATCATACTCGCCGTAGCCGATTGTGACCATCTTGCCGTATTCGTTGCGCTTCTTCAGCTCGAAGTAACCTCTGGCCTTGTTCTCGGAGTGGTCGAAGTCCATCGCGCCGCATCTCAGCAGATACCTGATGCGATGCTCGCGAATGTACACATCAAGACGTTCATGGTGAGGTATGCACATGCCGAAGCTGATGGACCTGCTGCGCATCATCTCAAGGAAGGCGACGAGATCCTTGTTCCCCTGAGTATTCCAATCTCTATTGTTCGCTATATTCGAGCCTTCATCCATCCAATAGGTAGTTTTCGAAGAATCGCCCGATCTGAGCTTTTCTTTAAACTCCTCCATCTCATAGGTGTACTGTTTCTCCAGGTCAAATGAAGGATCATATGCCGAGAGCACCTGATACATCAGGTTGGACTTTCCCGAGCCCTCAGGGCCCTCGCATACGACGACGTTATCGTAGCCGTTTTCGATATTCCGATGCATATCCTTGGCCAGTGCCTCGATAAGGCCCTCGTAGAGGTAGCGGACGAACACCTTGCCGGAGCTCCATCTCATCACCTTGGTATCTTTCACCACGAGCTCGCCGATTCCCGAGGATCTGACGTCGCCCGGTCCTTCGACGATGAGCCTCATGCCTGCTCCTCGCCGCGCTGCCAGCCCTGGACCTCGGGGACCTTGCCGATTCCGGTCAGGTCGTCCCTGGCGCGTCCCTGCCACGAGCAGGACGTCCTCAGGAGGAGCTGACTCTCCTGGTAGCCATATTTACTGTTGAGCGCCATCGACGTGAATCCCATCAGCACCGCCTGAAGCTGAGCAGGGCTGACGAGGTTCGCCATGATCTCGAGATCAGGGCCCGAGGTAGAGGTCAGTTTGTCGATACATACATCCTTTGATTGTTTTAGTTCCATTTCATTCACCTCAGTGGAAGAAACCGAGCATGTACATTCCGAAGATTGCACCTACTCCGATGATTGCGATCATTGCGATCTTTTGAAGGTCCATAGTCTGCCATGCAACTCTATTCATTCCCTTGAGGAAGTTCTGAGTCGCATTGGAGGTCATTGAGTCGTGGAGAGTTGCAGCAGTGTCCTGAGAGTAGAGGAATCTGCCCTCAGAGTCCTTTGCATGCACGTCGAAGATCTTCGCGTTGTTTATCCTCATGAATACGGGCACACCGGAGTAGACGATGGAGTCATAGAGTCCGTCGACCTTGAGATAACCCTGACGCTGAAGGTCCTCGGTTTTGTCGGAGGTCCAACGGTCATATCTCGAGTAACCTTCCGACCATGTGCCGGCTACGGAGTCCTGCATGGTCTGATATTTCTGGAAAGAGATATCGACCTTGAGCACTCTCGTGCCGAGTGTGTACTGAATCAGTCTGTCCTTCAGGTCGACGAATTTCTTACCGAGAGTTTTGTCCGTGTAGTATTTCGATACCTTATCAGGAGTGCCCTCGAGCATCTTGGAGACGATGTGCTGCGCGAGGATGTACGCGATGACAATAACCCATAGTGCCAGCACTCCATAAATGACCGTCACGAGAATGTTCATAATCCTCCCCCCATGATGAAGCCGTAGACGATGCATGCGACGATTACGAGAGGTATCATATATTTCTTGAGATTGCCTGCGTCAAGGAATCCCCACACTCTTTTTTGATTTCCGGAATACTTCGCGGAGCCGATGAGCGCACGGGTGTAGTCAGGATCTACGAGCTTCGCCTCGAGTAGGTAGGGCTGAGTCGAGTCGATGGGGTAGAAATACATCGCATCATCGGTCCTCTGGTCCTTCAGGCAGAGATCATCATCGGCCCGGTACAACCTGGAGGCTATCGAGACCATTTGACGGTTTTTGCGCTTCATCTTGAATATCGTAATGTGGTCTTTTTCGATTCTGCATAGATATTTCATTTACTTACCACCCACTTCGAGCCGATTATACTATTATACAATAGTGCACAAGACTGTACACTGTCCACTATATATATACGGTAATGTATTGTTTTGTACATGGCTCAGGGCGGATTAAGTGTGAACGCAGTGGTGCTAACGATCATGGCGGTCGCAGTCGGCCTTTTGATGGTCGGCAGCCTCCTTGCGCCAATTTCGGCTGATGTGATTACTCAGCTCCTCGATATCGAAGACTATGGCGAGACATGGGCCAATATGGTCTCTGCTACCGTCGTGTTTACGATCCTCGGGCTCGTAATCTTGGCCGTTAACTCTTACACCAGTAAGAGGTAAGTAAGGAGGCTTTGAACATGGCATCAATGCAGAAAATCGTTGGAGCAGTCATCGCAATCACTGTTAGAGGATCTAGAGTCGCGGCTCTGTCCGGCAAGTGTGATTGTCGTTGCATCTGTACTCGCACCTACAATCGCAGAATACACCGCAGAGGGCGGAGCACTTGCTGAGTGGTCCGGACTCCTCGGAGCAATCGTCGTCCTTTCCGTTGTCGGAATCATGATGGTTGCCGTCGGACTCATCTCCTCCGGTAGGAACTAAGCGAGTTGAATGACCGACCCCCGGCGGTATATCCGGGGACTTATTACATATCAATAGGAAGGAAGACCGATGCTGACTGAAGGAGTATTACTCGCAATGGGAGTCAGTCTTCTCCTTCTGCTTCTCGGATTGAAGATGAAGGCAATGCCCGTCATCTTCATCTCCTCTCTCGGCTGGCTGATCGCCGGCCTTCAGGTCTATCAGCAGACTGAGGAAGTGCTGCCGATGGCCCTTCTCCTAATGCTCTCCTTCAGTCAATTCTTCCTCGTAAGGAGGGAACGCTGATGGAGCTCACTTTCAACAACATTATCGACTATGTGGCCACTTATGCATTCGGTGGATCCACGACACTCGCAGGCCTCGCCCTCCTTATCGGAGCCTGGGCAGTCTGCGCAGTCATCTGCCTGAATCTCAAGGCACCGCCTACCTACACCGTCGTTCCGATGATTCCTCTCGCGATCTTCTTCGCTGCTTACGGAATCCTCAACGAGACCATCATGGTTATGATTATCCTGATCTCCGCCGTCCTGGTCGGAATCGAGGCTAAGAAGGCGGTTGACTGAAATGGCAGCAGATTCCTCCGACGCGACCCTGATGAAGGTTGCGATCTTCGGCATCACCGTCTCCCTGATCTGCACCGTCATGATCTCCGTCATGATCGCAGGGGAAGGAGGCGACTACGACTATGACGCTATTCAGGGCTACCGCAACGAGCTCGTAGAGTTTTCCGGAGAGTCTATGCTCAATCAGACTCCCTGGGTGCTCCAGCATGTGTACACCCCTTGGAACGAGTCCGTAGATCCTGCAACCCATACCACTGATGGATGGTTGTGGGGGGAGGAAATCGAAGACTATCCCGGACTCGGCTCTTCGGCTCAGATCCGTCTCGACCCTACTCAGAAATCGACCGTATTGCTCGGCTACACCGAGGACAGAATCCAGTACACCCAGGTTGACGGCTATCAGTTTTGGAGCTCCAAGAACGGCGGAGTATGGCAATATGTCAACTACGTCGTCCCCATCGAGAAACTGATGAACTGGGCCGGAGTCGACTCCGAGATTACCAGCTTCCACTCTCCTAGCAATTGGAACTTTACCGGTTATCGCTACGTCTTCGATCCTACTCTGCCTTTCAGCGCGACGAATCCGAGCGGAACGTCTATCGGTACCAGGGACGGCTCTTTAAGCCTCGTATGGTACTCCTTCGGAGGCCAGGAAGGGCTCTCGGGAGGTCTCGACGTATATGGCGGCGACATCCTGCTGGCCTCCTATTCTGCAACGGACATCATCGGAGACTACCGCACCGAATCCGGTTATGCGACCGTCTACGACTTCGATTTCCAGGGCACCCATCTCAATCTCAGCATCAGGTTCGACGCAGACGTCATCGAAGGCGGTAAGACCCTGATGCAGGCCTGGACTGAAGGCGACTGGTCGATGGCCATCAGCTCCCTGTCCGCAGGCAACTTCTTCGACATCGAAGGCAGCACATCATTCACCGCCACCGCAGGCAACATGATCAACACCTTCATTCAGATCTACACCTTCAACACCCCATCCATTGATAACCCCTGGATGGACGTGCTTCTCTGGCTTATCGTAGGCCTTCCCATGACTATGGCGATGGCTCTCATCACTCTCAGACTCATCAACGGATTCAGGGTGTTATAATGGCATCAACCAAGGCAATCGCAGCAATCGCCCTCACTCTCATCATCGCAGTACCCATCGGACTCGGCTACGTCCTCGCATTCGACGAGGAAGAGACGACAAACTGGGAGACCACTGAACAGTACAACGTCAGCGATCTGCTGCTTAACAGCTCCTCTCCCTACTATCAGGTTTACACCGGTCCGAACAACAATATGATCAGGGGCGGAGCAGGCTACGTCAGCACCGGCACAACTCCCTCGAGCATTCAGATCATGAGCGAGGTCTCCCACACCATCACGGTCACAACCTCCTATCAGACTCTTTCCGAGTCATCGGTGTTCGGACTTCTCCCTGCTAAAGGAGTCCTCCAGCTCACATCCGGGGATGGCAACGTGACTCAGTACGCGGTACCTACTTCCGCATCCGCATACTTCGAGAAATATTCCACCGGCTCTGCGAGGATCCGCGTGACGGATTCCTCGAACAATATCACATTCCTCGACTATACTAACATCGTCAAGGTCGAGGTAAAGGTCACATCCGGCTCTGCCTCGATGCTTTATAGAAGCCTCTCCCCCACCGGACAGTACGCAGATCCTGCCGCAGGTTGGCAGGTTCTCCAGGGCGCACCCGTCGACTGGTCCAACGGATTCTACAACGACCGCATCACATTCATGGTTGACTTCAAGGACTGGGGCCAGCCCTCCGCAGATGTCCTTTTCGGACTCGGAGGAGAGTCCTATCTCTATCTGAAGATGACTGCCGGCAAAGTCTCCTATGGCTTCGCATCCTTCGACGGAGACAATGAGCTCGTACTCCCCACCGGCTCCGCCCTGACTGCTCTCGGAAAATATTCGACCATCAGGGTGGTCATCACCGAGGACTCGTACATTATCAGCGGACTCGCAGCATGGCCCTCGATGGGAGTTGCTGCCAACGTTCTCAACACCGTCACCGTCGCCCACGACGTCAACGAGGATCTTCTTCATGTGGAGATCTTCAACACCGACGGACTGACTACTCTGCGCTGCGACTCCGCAGATATTCTCGCAGGATCCTTCCCGTCGACCAAGGATTATACTCTCGACCTAGTGAGCCTATACCCTGACTCTCTGATGAGCCTCAAACTCAACTCTATCGGCGTCTATGGGGACTCTCTCACCGTCGGAGGTGTCGAGCTACCCGTCACTGATGGAAAGGTCCACGTCGATGGAAAGAACGTGAGCCTGAAGGGTGCAGTGATCTCCTTCCTCCCCGATGAGGAGGGATGGCTGAGCTGCTACATCAACGGGCGCGACCTCGGCATGCATTTCGCAGCTCTTCCCTCCGTCACCTTCGGAGGAGAATGGAGCCTCACTGCAATCGCCTTCAAGGTCGAGCAGGTAGCCGGCACCAGTGTCGAATGGCATGCCGGGGACTTCGGTCTCGACCAGGGCGGAATAATCGCCGCCGGACTGTTGACCTGCATCGGAGCATTCGTGTTCCTTGGAATGTATGGGAAGGCATCCGGCACCAAGATCGGACTCCTCGCATTAGTATGCGGAGGAGCTGCGATAATACTCTTTATGATGATTTGAGGCGTAGCTATGGATTCGACGTTATTGATGATTATTCCTGTTCTCGTCATTGCAGCGATTCTTATCATCTCTGCAAAAACTGAGACCTCCGGAACTATTTTCGGAAAAATCCTGGCAGTAGGGATCTCCCTGATCCTCGTCGTAGGGATCCTTATCCCGGCGGTCCAGAACTCCGATGTAGATTATTCCCCCCTTTCCCCTGCCCCTAAGGAGAATGTCTTGGATGTGTTCTTGCTCGCAGGCCAGTCTAACGCCGCCTACGGAGTCTATGAGGTCTCTGAAGCCGCGCCAGCCCCTGAGTATGGCACTTCATACTATTTCGGCACCTCCACCAATCCAGTCTACTTCTTAGGATCTACAATTATGTCAGGTACCTATTCCTTAGCTGGCATGGGGGCGTATGACATGTGCAACACGTCCGGCACTCCTAAAATCGGTAATGTTGAGTTGCCTTTCGCAGGAGAGTATACTCAGTATAGTGGTCATGATATGTATATGATCAATTGCGGAGTATCAGGCACCAGCATATCCGATTGGCAACCGGGAGAGTACTGCTACACCTATGCCCTCGACGTATTCACTACTGCTATGGAGCAGATTGATGTTTCTCAGTATTCGGCAGTCAATCTCTGCTCAATCCTATGGATCCAGGGTGAAAATGATGCTTACATGATCGCCACCGAATACGTCGACCTCTTCCTTACTATGTGGGCATCTATGCAGACATGGGAGTATTCTTCTCAACATTTCGAGCAGATTATAATCTCTCAGACTCGCTATGCTTCCGCACCTAATTCCTCTATCGCCCAAAAGATGCTAGGAGACGGAGACTACTCCGGAGTTTACCTCGGGTGTACTCTTGCAAACTCCTTCTCTACATCTTCCGGGTCCTTGGTAGCCGATGGTCTTCACTACTCCCAGAGGGGAGATAATGCCATCGGAGTACAGCTTGCAAAATTTTGTTTAAATTTGAGGCATTGATATGAAATTAATTAATGGCGTCTTGACAATTGTGGTGGCCATCATCTTGGTCGCCGTTTTAGTCGTGCCGGTAATTGACTCCGAGGCCGATTCCGTAACCACTACCTACGCTAATGGTTCGGGCACTCTTGCGCAGGCCTTGGAGACCACCCCTGCCGCACACACTATCGAGTACACTTCTGGAACCACCTTCACCGTCGACGGTGAGACCTATCAGCTCGGCACTTATGGCCGCCTGGGCATATTTGCGAGTGATGAGTGCAGCCTCCAACTGAATAGCTCAGGAGGACAGATCTACATTATGCAGAAGGGAATCAATCAGATCACTGCAACCCTTTCCGATGGGTTCAAGGTTGAGACTACTGCCTCAGGATCTGTCACCATCACCTACGGCTCCTCTACAATTACACACCCCTACTCGTGGACAGTTATGCTGAATCCTCAGGGAACATATGTGTGGAACTCTATCTCCTCCGGTAATGCGCGTTACATCTACGACGTCGAGGATATTATCGTCGCATATTCCTTCGTATCTGGAAACAACTATTGCACTTATGTCGACGGAGTGGCAAAAGTCAACGGCAACTCCTCCGCATTTACTGCGACGACCGCAGAGGTAGAGGGAACTGATGGAAAACTCCAGACAGTGAATAAATTAATGTTTGGAGAGTTTGAGATTCAATTCGGATATGTGCCTGTCACCGTATCCTATATTGATGCTGAATCTTCTCAGATCATATCTCTCCTGTACATTATCCCCCTGCTTCTGCTCGTGTCCGTTGTGGTTATCGCAACGGGATTCATGAGAAGCAGAAACTAAAAACGGCCGTTTTAAACGGCCTTCAAAACTATTTAAGGAAGGGGTCGACTCTGACCCCCTCCCTTTTTAGCGTTTTTTCTTGATCATAAACTCGCCCTGATTATCTCCATCTCTCTCTCGATCTCTGCCTTATGATTGCGCAGCGTCGACACATTGATGCCGAACTCGATGCTGCAATCCTTCCAATTCTTTCCTGCAAGGCGACTGAGTGCGACCATGTGCAGGGGAATGTCGGCAGACGGACGTCCGAGGACTTCTCCGCGTGCCCTGCGAGCCTCTAGGCCCTCTTTTGTGCGCGTGCTAATCATGGCGCCCTCCCACTCGGCGATAGTCCCTAGAATGTGCACGAGGAAGGCACCATTGGGAGTTTTGGCATCGAGCAGGCCTGCGTCCAAGGCGAAGATATCAACGTCGTAGACCTTCAGGGTGTCGAGCTCTTCTCCGAGGATCCTCAGGCTGCGCATGATCCTGTCGAGCTTCGTCACGACGATCCTGTCGAACTTCCTCGCACGAGCATCCGACATCAGTGCCTGCCATCCAGGCCTGTTGCAGTTTTTGCCGGTTGCGACGTCGGAGTATTCCTGGATGATGTCCCACCCGGCACGACCGCAATAGTCGCGGATGCGAGGGAGCTGAAGCTCTTCGTCCTGAGTGCCGGTGCTGACACGTGCATAAACGGCTACTCTCACGAATATTCCTCCATGAAGCGACGGAGCTCGCACATGCATGAGTCGCAGATCTCTCCGGAAATCTCTCCGATCTTGAGAGGCCACCAGAATAAAGTCATCGTGCGCTTGCACCTGGTGCAGGGTACATGGCTCATACTTTCACCCATACTCCCTGTCCGGTGACATCCTTGCCGATGAGCTTCGCCCTTTTGTTGATGGCTGCGCGGATTGTTCCCCCCTTGTAGTCGTCGAGGTTGAATCCGTCAATCCTGGCGAAGACACGGATGTCGAAGATTGAGAACTCTGCCTTATCTCTGATTGTCGAGAGCTCATAATCTACGATCTCCTGAAGCTCCTTGGTGCACTTGGACATCAGACGCGCCTCCAGAGAATGCCCTGAATCATCAGCTTGGCCTCTTCGGCCATTCCGGTGTGGCGGAGGAAGTGGCCGACCTGGGAGGGAGTCGGTCCGCGTCTGTTGAAGCGCACTGCGAGATCCGAGGCGAAGAATGTCCTGCCGACGGGCATCTCCTCCAGCATCTCGCGCACTTTCTCCTTCTGCATATCATTCATCGAGGTCCACCTCGTAATCTCCGCGCTTGATCATCTCCCTAAGGATATAGGCCTCCATCAATGCGTCATCGAGTGCGCGATGCTGCTCGATTCCGTTGGGAAGGTTTGCAGGATTGTCGGGACATAGGAAGGAGTATGTCGTCTGAGCCGAAGGACATCCGGAGTACTGCGAGCAGGGGAGCTCATCACCGTATTCGCGTCCAGCGACCTTCATGATGCAGGGCATGAGTCTCGGGGAACACTCCCAAGGGTAGCGGATAAGGAAACGGTCAAAATCGAACTCTCTGTTGAAGGAGGTTGCTGCATGATTCTTCAGGATCCTCTGAATCTCATTGCGGACTTCGGTGACTTCTCTGCCGCATAATACATCAGTAGGCCTCAGGGAAGTGTTCTGGAAAACCCAGGCCTGTTCAAAAGTATCGGCGAGATGATAGTATGGGCGAACGATTGCATGATAGAGCGGACGGGGAGTAAGGTCGCAGGTTGCGAGCTCGACGATTCCGATCTCTACGACGTGATCCTTCGGCTCTCCGAGGAGTCCGGTCGTTTCCAGATCGACGACTAAGATGGAGTCGACCATTCAGCTCACCTCGAGGATAAGGGGAGCTCTTACCATCTCCGGAGGGAGACCGGGAATATGATTCCAGTAGATGACCATCTCACTGGTGTACGGAGGGAAGTCGATGCCGGTCTCGCAGGTGTTGCCCTTGAAGACGACATAGGCCTTCTTGGAGGAGGCCTTGACCTTCTCCCTGACATAGATGGCGGTGTTGCCCTGAGGTCCGGGCTTGGCCTTGAGCTCGATGATGAGCTCCTGAGTGTCGGTGATCTTGAAGAACATCGCCGGACTGTTGCCGTTGACTTCCTCGAATCCGTTGGTGTGCTTGATGAGAGATGCGAGAGTGCAGGCATCATCCTGGGAAATAATGAGAGTCATAGCTCTTTCTCCTTGATGTATCTGCGAGATTTTACGAGATCAATGCGAGAGTATTCTTCTCCGGAAATAAAATCGAACATCATCAGATCCTTGTAGAGCTGCTTGATGGTGCGCTCGCATGTCACGACCGGTTTAACGTTGACGTTAAACTGGACTATTTTCTTGAAATTACGATAAGAAAACGGAGCGCTTTCGAGAGCTTCGTATTCTTTCGGCAGACACTTGAGAATTTTCTCAAGGATGTCTGGCATCTCATACTTTGATTCGTATGCCATTTTAATCACTTCGATTCATTTTCACATTCACATTCACACATTGATTTTAGGAGCGTATCGGCTTGATTTAGACCAAACTACGATATCAAGCCGATAGAGCGTCCGCTAATCATCTGCTCCTTTGGACGGATCGTATCGGAGTTTGGTCTGGCGAACCGTCGAAATTTTGACGATTTTAGACCAAATCAATACAATCTTACCAATTTCATTGCAGAATGTGTGAATGTGAATGTGAATGTACGAGTACCTGAGTACACGCGTCAGGGCAGGAGTTGAACCCGCAAATCTCATCAGATCCTGACGATTCTTTATTTAGGCGCTCGTAGTTTGAGCTCCAGAGAAGCAGGGAAGAATTAGACCCAAAAACGGCATCAGCCAGGGCAGAGTAGTCCCCCACAAATCTGGGCGGGGCTACCATTTCTATCTGGCTTGTCTGATTTTCGGAATAACTCTCCATTTTAGCACTCTCCGAAGATATTCAACTGCATTGCTTTCTTCATGTCATCGAGATCAACTCCGATGTAGCGGAGAGTGACCTCAGTGGAGTCGTGGCCGAGGATCTTCGCGATCGTCGCCACTTCCACTCCGGCACGATACATCATCCTGCCGAATGTCCTGCGCAGAGTATGGTTCGAGAAGTGAAATCCCAATTGTACCGAAAGGGGATCCGATACAACCTTGTCGATTCCATACCCTTCTTCGGAGTAGGCATGTAATACTCCGCCTTTCTGCCAAATGATAAGATT